CCAGAATTATATTGCTAACATTAAATTGACAAAAAGTGAGAATGGATTTGATAATGTGAAGTTTGAAAACTTTGACTATCATTTCATGAAATACATGTTATTAATTGAACTTCGAAGGAACTAGTAATAGTATTACAAAGTATTTTTTTCTCTCAGGAATTTGCAGTATTATTGTTTTATTCATTCAGTATTTATTAAATACCTACCATGTGCCAGGCACTGTGTAAGGCTTTGGATAATATAGCAGACACCATAGCTTTTAATATAGTGCCTCTGTTGAGCCAGTTCTCATATTTGTCCAGTTGCATGAAGGTAGACTTGGTAAGAAAACTATATATTTAGTAGCAGTGTTGAAGTTTTATTTCCACCTTTAATAAACATAAATTTAAAATCTTTTTTTGCATATCATGAAAAGGTGTTTTATTTAATGAATCATTGTCCATGTCCCAGCAACTAAAATAATTCAGTAAATTTTTGTAATAAGAAATCTCGTAAACAAATACTTTGTCTTAAACTGTAACTGTATATACTTGATAATATGTGTTTTGTTATAATTTAATATTATTTTTATTATGCTTATTCAGAGTGAATGACCAAAGGAGTTGTATTTTATCCTACTTCAGATACTCTGTCAGTCCTTTTACCTCTACCCACATCAAACAATCTAATACATACTCTCATCTGAAACTACCTTACTGTCCTCTGAAAGAAAAAAGTATATATTCTACTCAGTTTAAGTACATATTTGCTTTTGTTAATTTGCAATAAAAAAGCTAAATTAGCTTCCTTTCATCTCATTTCTAAGTCCTTAAGTCATAGGTATTCATAACATATTAATAATAATTTTACTTTTCATTTATATATCGCTTTGCAGCTTTTGAGGTTTCACATATTGCAAGTAAATTACTTTTACCCTTGAGGTGAATGGGACAGATTACTCTTCTCTTTAGCCAAGAAGAGTACAGGCTCAGAAATGTGGCAGGGCTTCCTCACAGTCACATAACTAATAAATTATAGAGTGTAGACCAGACTTAGGTATGCATGTTCATTTTATACAGTTCTTAAGAATGTCTGTGGAATTCTTTATTGTGAAATTTTGCTAGCATTGTACATTTTTCATTATTAAAAGATTTGACCTGTTGTTTTTTTTCAGTTAGACTAATTGTTTAAACAAATACTTATTTTAGACCTCATGCAAAGAGAAAACTGAATATCTAGAGAAAATGATTCAGAGGAATGAAAGATACAAACAAGATGTGGAGAGGTTCTATGAACGTAAACGACATTTAGACTTGATTGAGATGCTTGAAGCAAAAAGGCCATGGGTGGTAAGTCTTAATTGTTAAAGGCAAAAATAGTTATTTCTTTAAGTAGTAGGAAAGTTATAAAGAAGGCATTAATTATCTGTATTCAAATTAGCTTTTGTTCTTTTNAGATAAACTTCTTATATGCAGTAGCTCTAATAATCTAACCAGTGACCATTAACCAGTTCTCTTACCAAGTCTTGCACAAGGGGAGGTTTCCCTTTCCCCAGTCTCATCATGGTTACATTGTTGTCACTTATTCTACCTTGATAATACCAAACACCATTAATGGTTGTTGAAATTGTTATTGCTGTTGAATAAATACATTGGCCACATACTCATTGGAGTATTCTCAATACATTAATTCACCACATACTCATTCTGCCCTCATGGAATTTATGATTAGGGACATGGAGAGACAGATAAATAATTAAGTAAAATATATATTATGTTAGATGGTGATAATTGCTATGTAGAAAAATAAAGTAGGAAAGGAAGATAGGGAGTGCCAGAGTGGCGTTTACAATATTAGATGTGATGATCAGGAGAGTTCTCACTGAGAATAGCCAAGACTTGAAGGAGTTAAGGGGTTGAGCATAGAGATATTTGGGGAAACAGCATTTCAGGTAGAGGAATTTGCAAATGCTAAAACTCTTCAATGGTACCCAGTGTGACAGGATCACAGTGAACAGAACAGTAAAAGGTAAGGTCCAAAAATATCGGGAGCCCCTTCATAGGGCCTTATAGGCTAATGTAAAAGCTTTGCATTTATTTTGAATAAGATGTGAAGCCACCAGGATTTGAGTGGAGGAGTGGCATGATCTAACTTAAATGTTAACCAGATCATTTAGGTTGCTGTGTGAAAAATAGACTAACAGAACAGAGGCAAAAGCAAGGATATCAGTTAATGACGATATAATAACTCTAAGAGAGATAAAGATAGATTAGGATTTGCTCACAAATTGGATATAGGGTATGGAAGAAAGAAAGACATCACGGACTGCAAGGTATCTGGCATTCGTATCCATAAGAGTGGAGTTTCTGTTCATTTGAGGCAAGAAACTGCTACAAGAGGATTTGGGGTAAAATCTGAAGTTCATTTTGGAGTATATCATATATCATTGAATTAAGATGCCACTACCTGTGAAAGGTTGCTTCCAATTAAGCTATGACAGATAGTTTGAAATGTGCACCCCAGTTTCAGAAATGTTAAGATGTAAAACAACAACAACAAAAATAAATGCTTTTCAGAGTAAAATTTGAGGTGCCTAATGCACATTTAGGTAGAAATGGTGAATGGGCAGTTAGATACATAAACCAGTCATCTAAGGGAAAAGTTTGGGCCGAAGAATCCCCAAGGGAAATGTACACATGCAGGAAAAGACGTCTGGGAACTAAATCCTGTTGCACTGTAGAACTTAGAGGTTGAATGTAGGACAAACTAGGAAAGGAAACTAAAGTTTGCTAGTGAGTCAAAAGAATATAATAATAGGAAAGTATTCCAAGCATCTGTGTCTGATGCTGCTGATAGTTGGTCAAATAAAGTGAAGACAAATACTTAACTAGGTTTAGCTCATCATTGGCCTTGACATGGTTTGGGGGAGTGCTTTTATTTATTCCTATTGAATGCTCAGGAAGGCTTGTTGAAAATATTTATGAGCTGAGAACAGAATGATAAAAAAAGCCATCCATAAGTACTGGAAGTAGAGTATTCTGGGCAGAGGTAATAGTTTGTGCAAAGGATCTAAGATGGCATTTAGTTTGTTTCTGAGGAACAGAAAAATGGTAGTGTGGCTGGAATGAAATGATATATTTGTTATAGGATTTTGGAAAATTACTTGGTTGGGAATATTCCCTTCTGTTCCTGATTTGGTATGCTTTTAATTATGAATAGGCAAGTGAATTTTATCAGCATCTATTGTGTTGATCATATTATTTTAATTGATAAGTTCAGTTCATTTCCAGATGTTCACCCAATTTTGCATTTTTAGAATAAATGCAATATGGTCATAATTTTGTTGATGAATTGTTAGATTTAGTTTTCTAATGCTTTATTTAGGATTTTTATGTCGGTATTTTGTTTGTGAAATATTTGTTTAAATGTTTGGTTAAACTTAAT